TCATAAAAATTTAACTGTTCTACGATGGAAAAATATTTCTGTAAACTTCTGAAAGACTACGGAATGAATGAAAGAATTGACCAAGATAATCAACTTCAGGATTATGGATAATTGGTGTTTTACTCTAGCCTTATATTCCCATCTCGAAATTTAGAGATAAACGAAAAGTTTGCCCGTGCTCTCTCGAATGTAAGTTTTCTTTCTCAGAAGGAGGAAAAATTTAGAAATAAGCCCCAAAATTAGTAGTCTTGTAATACCGTATAATATATATCAAAATTAATCTCAACACATTAATTTGAACTCTCTATGAATTAAATTTACGTCATGATCAGAAATTAGATGATTTTTTTTAACAGTAATCTTAATATAAAATGTTCACAGCTTCAGACCAAATTCAGCTTCCATGCGTCATTATTTCTTGACAGAAAAATCCGAGTTCAACGTACAGTACATTAATGAAAGCTTTTGCGACTGATTGCATTGATAATTAAATGTTTAGACAGTTTTTGGACAAGAAATAAATTAATGACATTTTCTTCAAGCATTAAAGCTGTCATCGAACTCAAGAAAAGAATTCCACATTCATAAAATGTCCTTTACCTATCGTTGCGGCTTAAAGGGGTTTTCCTTATTGTTTATAATTATCCGAAAGCAATAAAGTTGTCCTCCAAAATAAATATAGAGACGAGAAAAGATGGCGATCGCAAATTATGTCATCGAAACCCTCTCAGATTTAATTTTATATTGTGACGTACCCGGTGAACTATTGAGTGAATTTGACATGTGAGTTTCCATGCAAATTACGTTCGGTCCCCGGGTGATTTACCTGCTTTTATTATTCAGGAATCACCTTTTTTATTTACTTTGCAAAGAAGGCCAAGAGAAAAATGAAGCTGTGCTTTTTTCAAATTCAATGCATTTTTTTTAGCGAAAACTTCATGACAAGCGAATAATCATTGATCCAATTTATAATTTACTCAAGAAGTACACAGTATCTTACAGATTGTGATGTCGCGAAATTTGGCAAAGAAACACGCTGTATTTATTCCGATGCATTTTAAGGTTTCACGAGACTTTAAATTGAACTAGCACTGAAAATTTTGAGCAGAAAAATATGCGTAGGGAAGCGAGTTTTATTACGTCGTGCTCACAAAGTCACATTTGCAGTTATCGCATCCCTTTCAATGTTTTAATCCTAGCGATTCACATCCTCGGCTTTCCGCCCCCATTTATCGTTTGAAGGAATGTCACGATTTACGGCAGGTATGCTTTCTATTATACTATATTGGTGTAACGCGGATTCCAGCACGAACAATGACGTCCGAGACTGGAATGTAAGGGTTTCGGGTCGCCAAAGACCGAGAATGGTTTTCTTTTATTCTTTGATACTCAAAAGGGAGAATTTATTGAGCTTATAAATTATAATTACTAGAGTATTTGTGTTGGAAATTATCACTAAAGTTCCCTATCTCGACCAGAGGCCATGATTCGCAGGAAAACATTTTTTTTTTCAGACTCGGATACTCGAAATGTCCTATAGATTTGTTGACAAGAACAATAAAGACGTTTCAAATGTGTGTTCATCCGAAAAAAAATTACAGAACAAGAAGCGATCATTACTAAATAATTCATAATTCATTTATTCACCAGGGTTCAAGTTTTTGGGTTCAAGTTCTTCATCTTGTGTTAATACGGCTGTAAAAAAAAACACCATCGAAGACTGATTTTACATTTTGCACGATTCCGTTGGTTTGTCGTCGTCAGTCAAAGATTCCATGGTTCCTCTTCCACTGGTCTGCAGTGTATCATGTGAATCCGATGGGGACCAGTTGTCAGGAACTGTTTCAATGGAAATCTTCACTTCCGCTCGTTTTTGAGCTTTCTGCTTTTGTTGCAGATTCAAAATTTCAGCAGCAGCTTCTGCCAACGCTGGAGCTGAAAGTCAAAGAAACATTTCCCTCCTTTATTCTCTCTTACTGTAAGATATCATCTCTTCTTAGACACGGCCAAATTCTTCAGCCTGAGAAAGTCAGTCATGCAAAAATGGACATACTTGCTCACTTTCATTTGGCTTCAAATAAATGCAACCTTGAAGACAGTATAACTAAAACCAAAGAGAAAATGTTTTGTAAATTTTTTACATCGCTTTCCACACTTTCTCTCAGGATTACACATCTTTTTCGATTTTGTTAGTTAAGAGTAATTTATTTACGCTTCAGAAATCTGATCGATGAGAGAATAAACTATTTCATTAATTTACCATAGCATGCAATTTTGCACTAAAATCTTGAGTGTCACTGATTCGACACACCCGCTGATTTCTTGTGAGTAAAAATGAGAAAAAAATATTTTCTATGTTACTGTATTCACATAAATCACTGAAATCATCACGACTTAATGGTTATGAATCATGTCCTTCGAACAGCAAAAAAGGTTTAAAAAACAGTTCATTATTCACCTTCTTCAACGGATGGCAGTATGTCGACTCCTTCATCAGCATAAGCAGCGTATTTGTTGTGCTTGGTGCTGTTGCGATGTTCACCGGAATCCTGAACCCGAAATTTCTTCGCAGTGGAAATCAAGGATTTTGTTGATTTCAGCTTTATCCTGTCAAACAGAGACTGAGCCCTTTTCGGTGGGTTGGATATGTTCGGGCTGTCAGGATCCTCGCTGATCTCGTGCACAGATGGCGACTGAAATGTAAAATGATGTACCCCACCATTATTCAAATGATTCAACGCGTGTAAGACTAACCGATCGGTAAAAAGTGAAACCCTTACTATACTTGAGAATGGCGCATCAAAAACTGTAGGAAGAACAATTTATGAAAATAAATAACAAGGAGAATTGGCGTTAGAAGTCGATTATCTGGCAGTGCTGTTGAAATATTCTTGGACTAAGGCATTCGTAATTTATGCGAGAAATTTTTGCTTCGCCTGCCCTTTTTCAGCTTGAATAGACGTCACTGTCAGCCATGATCATAGTTCACTTCATTAGTATGTCATCCGAAGTTTACCATGTTCTTGGATTCCTAGTTCCACAACCATGTAAGATATTCACACGACACCTGTCCGGCATTTAAAAAAGCAAGAACTAAAGCAGGAACAAAAAGACTCACAGATGACGCTCGACGCACTGACGTATCCTCAACCTCCAAACGAGGCAGTTTTTCTTCTCGTTTCCAACAAGGACTATCGCAGCCCTCGGGGGCTTCACTCTCGGAGTCTTTGTTGCGTGGTTTCCTTCGAAACGACAGCTTGTCCCGAATGCTTCGCAAATGGCTGCTGGCACTGTTGCGACGTCGGAATCCCGGGGATTTCGGCTCCGGCGATGGCGCCGGAGTGTTGGCGCTAGATGGCACGTCCAGCATGCTGCCAAGCAGGTCCGGTGGGGAAGGCCGATGCTCCTCGGCTGCTTCTGACTCGAGAGTGTGTGGCAGGTTCGGTGGGATGACCTGTTCCCAGTAGGGATCCTTCACCAGGTCGGGGTAGTCATCGTTCATCTCGTCCACGATCATGTAAGACGTCTTGAGGTTCCGCTCAATGAGCCAGTTGAGTTCGAAGTCGTCGTCATCTTCGCCGTACGGGTTCAGCAGGGTTTCCGCGACTTTCAACCAGCCTAGGTACACAATTATCTGGCAAAAAACACAAGACACTCATTTTAATTTTCCGATCCTGGGCTTTTCAACCGACCACTTCATGGTGCGAGTACAGTATATGTGCTGTGCATTTCTACAGTCGCTGCTGGCAAAATTTTCTTCAAAAAGTTTTAAAATTGTACAAAAAGTTCTTGGAATAGAATCACCGCGTTTGAACCCTCATTTCCTTGGAAACGTGCTCCATTCAAGATTGAACAGGTTACCGAACTATAAGAAACAGTCATCCAAACAATACTATGTGTACTGTGGTTCTGCAGTTGGTTATAGATGTACATACTATGCATCAATAACCAACTACAATACAGTATTTCACTTGAGAGATTGACTGGGAAAAAATAAGTTAGTCATTCCATTTCGCAAAAATCCAATTGACACAGGTTTCCTTTTTTAAGCAAAAGAATAAAAAAAAATTTCGATTATATTCTAGAGACCCATCACGAGTTGGACTTCCACAAATTGTTTAAAAGATGGGGACAATGTGAGACGAACAACATAATACCTGAAGTATAGTGAAGATTGGAATGTACAAGTCAATAGAATTCTTCTCTCCATCGGTGAACTGCCTCCCGAGCAAGCAAGCCAATAAGAACATGTACGTCGCCAAAGTCACCACCTGGAATCCAAATTTCCCGCCAAATATTCCTTCTGAATGTCCTACAACTTTTCAAATTCATACCTGAGTGTAAACTAGTGGCGTATTGATGGTGTCAATGAGCAAACTGCGACCACATTTCTCGCGGAACAGTAAAATATGGTCTATGCCACCCTTCCACTGGGAATCCGACTTGATCTTGTTCTCACTCCGCGCTTTCGTGAGGATCGTCGCTGCCCAGATCAACGGAACGTAGTACAACTTGGTCATCTTCTCGGACATCTGGTCTAAAATCCTCCGCTCGTCCTCATTCAGCAATCCTGCAAAGACAGCAAGAAAGTATCACTGGAAAGTTTCTTTGCACTCTTATATTTATTCGGAAAAATAACCTCTAAACTGAGTAAAATTGAAACTTTAATCTCAGAAGGGCACACTAAAGCCTTCCTTATATGCACCAGCAACATAAGGATGCGTTCATTTTCAACAAGTACGAAATCTTGAATACTTCACTGACTTTGGAACAGAAAAATTACTAAAATCTTTCAAAAGAAGTAGCTAACGTACTGTACTTGTTGTTAGAGGCTCATCCAAATGAATTTCAAATACCATTACAGTATAAACATACTGGTTACTGTATCACCAGCAGAGCACCTTCTTTCTCATGTCCAGCATTCCCCAACACAAGAATTGAACTTTCAAAAGACTTCAAATTCTCTCAAATTAATAAAAAGGTACTCTCCCAAATCTTGAAAAGTCAGGAAAAAGTGTTTGCTTTATATTTTTATTCATTTCTCAGTGAAAGTTCTTTCTAAATTGTTCAATTGATTGAAAGTTATCTGAGATCAGGCTGAACACCTTGTGATTGAATTTGAGCTCAGTAATTACCTTTTGCTGTGACTTTTGTCATTCTCAAAAAATGTTGACAATTCATTATTCAAGCATTTGCGTGTACGGTTTAAATGGCTATATAGTGAATTATTTTTGACAGGCCGGAATGTGTTGAGTGATGTGGAAACATTTCGTGGGACTTGTGAACAACGAAAAGCAACAAATAAAGCTTGTATATCAAAGGATCAACCAATCAATATACGACTGCTGGTGACATCTATCCACGCTTGAGGAAATTGTACGTAGCAAACTTAAATGGTAGGGCAATAATTCATCACCAAATCTCTTTCCGGAGGACACTGGGTATCAAAAATGTTTAATGATTGATGCACAATAATACTGTAATTCAAAATGAAATCCCGCAAGTAAGTAATACCAAGAGGGAGCTTTAAAAACATATTCCATCTCGCAGCATCGTCATTTCTCGAAATATGTTAATTTATTTATTTCCCCATTTTTTCTGATCACCTGCGGCAACGAAGTGATGCATTGTTGGGAACCGTTTCCGAACCCGCGGACTGAACATCACCATGGAGTAAACCGAAGCCAGATTCACGTATCGCATGATCGTCCTCCGCAGCAACCTGGACTGTTCGTCCTATATTGAAGCGAAAGAGAAAAAAAAAATCTCACGAACGCTCACATTCCAAGGGAACAGAAAAATAATAATCACGGTGGTTCTAATCATTAAAAAAGAAGAAACGAGACGTGTGTCACCTGTCCTTGGATGCTGGTCGTGACGAACAAGGCTATGTTGTCCGGCGTCGGCAACGCTTCCCACATGGCCCACCAGCGATCCAACACGTGTTTCACGTAGAACCCCAGGACGAATGAGAGCGGGATCAAAGAGCTCGCCTTATCGCAGTACTTGCAAATGTACTCGAATATTCTGTTTAACCAAACACATCAACCATGACAGTCAACATACCTTATATTTCGTTTACTCACAATTCCTCGCTTAAGAAAAAAAAATGTTTGTGTTTTGTTTCTAAAATGTCCTCACTGAAGCTCTGGCTGGTATAATATATTCCACATTCCTTCACACCATACTTAGCTCGAAAATTTGAAAGCAATCACCCACAACAAGTGCTACTGGGATCTTACAAATTTTCGTATTTACTCAAGTACCATGCAAACCATTTTTTTCTCAAAATTGAGAGGAGAAAAAGGGGTGCGCATCAAAGGTGGGGATAATTACTGTATTTCGAAAAAATTTTGAAGTTTCGGTGTGCGTCACACTATAAAAGGTAGTTGATATGGTTGCGATGAATTAAGTACCGTAACAACAAAATATATATTAAATTACACAACTGTACTGTTAATAAGCAATGCTAAATTCATGTATCGAATAAAAAGGGGAAAGAACTCAGTGGCTTTCCTGCAATTGCATAAAACAGTGCTTCCTCCAGGAAGTATGATTGCATCTTGGTCAATTGTACTGTAAACGGTTAACTCCTCATTGTTAACATATCATCCACATGTACACTATAAAGAGCGGCTTTTTTCAAAAGCTTTGTGACAGCTCACGTTCACGATTCTTCCAGAGATCAATTTAATTATGAATACAATATGAACGGTTGTATATGTAGACAAGAGACGTTTTCTCCACAGTTTGATAATTGCGAATGATTTTTGGAACGCAGACTTTTTTTTTGACCAACATCGATAACTGGAACCTCCATATTCCGATTTTTTCTTTCAAGCCCATGTCGGAATAATCTCAGAAAAATGCACTAAAAACCTCCCTAAATCGTAGCTTTCCCCATCAAATCCTCCATAACTCGAATTTTCTGGAGGCCGTTTGGCTATTCTTTTTTTTTAATGCTGGAAAGAGAAAAGCAATAAAAATGTGACTTGATGGGTTTTGAAAAGAAGTCAGACAATTTGAGCAAATGAACCCTTGCATCCAAGGTCAGCATCTTGTAAATGCATTTAAAAAGAAAATTAAAATTCCAGAATGTCACCAATTGCAATTTCCTGTACAGTAATTCTTTCTTCTCTCCCTCAACAATAATGATTGTTTCTCTAACTGAAAATCGACTTCCTCGATTTTTTTTTCTGGTCTCTTGAAGTTCGACTTGAAGAGGTTCGATTGTATATTTCATCAAAACATGAGAGGATTGCATTTCGGCTCACTTTTTCTCATCGTCGTCCATCCCGAATCGATACCAGAGCCCGAGTGCGTAGAACACGGTCAACCAAACCAGGAGACTCTTCCATACCAGCTTGTACACGCTTCCTCGCCATCTGAATCAACATCGAAGCTTTTTAGAGCCGAATCACGGAAATGCATCTTTCGTGTTTTCTGATCATGTCAATACGGTTGTTTTTTATTTTTAGAATTGCTTAAAGTATCCAGCGGCATTTGATATATCTTGCAGCAAAGTGAGAACCAGGAAACCCGACGTGGCATTGCGGTATAATATGCCGAGCATATCTGGTGCATCAAAGTTCTCTGCTCTAGTCGAGCTACTATCAAATTTTATCTTTTTACGGTTGTTTGCGTTATGGGTTGGGTAAAAACGGGCGAGTGGATGGACACGGGGAAAAAGATAAAGTTTCTCCCAAAAACTTCCGCGATCTGAAATACTGAAGTGCTGGTCTCTATCGTGTGTCAGCAGCTATCACATCCTGCCACCACAAAACCAGCATCTCTATCTTTCTCCATATGTCTTCATAATGTCGGTTTACACCAGAGATGGTTCGTAAGTTTTGAGACTGATATGCAAAACTGTATTCATTTTCGATTCTGAAAAATTTAACATATCCTGGACCAGTGGTCTGAAACCCGCGGTCCACGGACCGGCGCTGGCACGCGGAAGTTATTTGCTGGTATCCGCAGAAAGTTTTTCTTTTCACATAATAAATGCTTAAAAATTTGAAATGCTGTCCGTTATTGCTATCTAAAATTTCAGAGAGACAATGGCAGTTGAAATTATCTGATAAAAAGTGAAAGTAATACTTCAGACAAATTTTCACCTGCTGAAAATTAAATATTTGAAGCTTTCATTCCGAGAAACTTTTCTTCAAGCCCAGCTCTGTAATTTTTCGAAGATATTCCACTACTGCTGCCTCCTTGGTGCTTCACTTATTTTTGCAATGAAGGTTTTTTTCGGCAGGTATTTAAAATTTATTTCTGCTGGTCTGCAAAAATTTTATGGAACTTCGCCAGTCCGCAGAACATTTTATGGGAGTTCACTAGTCTGTGAGTCCAAGAAGTTGGAAAAACCTGTCCTAGACTATAGACTCCTATTTTGCACGTTATACTGGACTGTATAGGATTATTGCTGCAAATTTTATCGATTTTTCTCATACGATAAATCCAACAGATCTCCGAAAGTATTTTTCATCCACTGTATATCCCATGTTGGTATTTTACGGTGGACGAACTTTCCGAAATATGAATTACATCAGTGCTAATGAACTAAAAAGAGCAAGATCCCGCAATGAAAAACAATTTCATCAAAAGACCGATCAATGCCGACTGATTCAAAGAAACAAATACTAGCTGATGTGGGAAGCTTACGATTATTAGCTTCGCTGTCCATCAGAGGAAAATGAGGTACAGTTTCAGTACAGTACTAGACAAGCTGAAGTACAGTGTAATTATCCATCAACGAAGGCCGAAAATTCCACGCGCGTACGGTATTTCCCACACATGTGAGCACATCGCTTGACGTTTGGGGGACTTCTGAAAACTTGGGTAAGTTCAATGGAAAACCTTCAAAAAGATCGTTTGAGAAATGCGAGTTACTCACAAACAGAGAAGCGTGAGGAAGTTCTTGTTTCCGGCTTCATGGCCAGTCGCTGTCGCCAACTTGTGGGCGTACACCACAGTCATCTTTCTTCTTCATGCACTGCTGAAGTTCACCCACAATTCAAACAACACTCAACGACTGTTCGTTTATACGCAGTAATTCGCACATGAGATCCACTCAAATATTGTTTTTAAAAAATCGCGGTATTTCGGGAAATCCCGCGTATGCCGCTGTTCGTTGTATAGGAGTACAACAAGAAATCTACTCGGCGTTCAATCAGACATAATGGGAAGCTTTCCGAATAGAAAAACTCATGAAACTTAAGAACTTATTTGCTCGTAAAAAATTCTCACGAATACATACTGTATTTAGTGTATTACATGACTGGCCATCACAAAAATCTTCATCCATGCACCATTATTCACCCAAACGCTGTAATAACACCCTTGGATTCTATGTTTAATCACACTTTATTTAGTTAATTGTTGTACAAGTAATAATTTTAAAAATACATGTTTATTCATTTGAAAAGTCATACACAACGCAGGCCAGCAAGATACTCTGCATCTTGTTCACACAGCTGACCCACAATTTGCAAATGTTATTTATGCATCCCAATTTTTCTTCAATATGCTACAGAATTACAGAAATTTGCATTGACGGCATTTGCTTAAATCACATTAGTCCGACATTTGCTAGATTATCCTGCACGGTTCAGCCAGGTTTATGTTTAATTAGGTTTGGTGAAGGATATTACCATTACCTATAAATGATTAAAAAGCAATGTATATCTTTTATGATACCGCGTGATCACCTGAATGAATTAGGTATATTCGGCCATTACAGTGCAGTATTTCAATCGGCCAGTCATCACGCTAAAGCAATTAACATAATGAAGCATCAATTGTTGATCACCTGCTACTCCAGAAACCTAATTTCTATGGAATTAACACTCAGTTTCCGGAGTTGAGCAGCGAGTCGAATGATTCGAGATCCACTTTCGTCGCGGAGAGAATTGGCACCGGGTAACTTATTACTCTTGAAATAATTCAAGGAAGGCACACCATTCACAACATGCCATCACGATGAGCGTGAACTATACATCCCCGTTGCTTGGAAATTGCAGAAACCGTTGTGCTGCGAATCCAGCAGTCAACGCATCGAGGGATGCAACCCAGTTTCTTCCTGCGCACGCGAATGCGGTCAACACACTGCGCTTCACACCGCAAGAGCCCAGAAGGAAAAATGTCTGTCTGTGTCAAAGAACGCAAGCAACATGCACGTTTGCCGGTCGACAGGATTCCTGCCCGCAGGCGCAGGGGCTCTCCAAGCAGCAACCCAATGGGGCTGGGTGTTGCGATTAGAGGCTCATACTAAGGAGACCTTCACCCTGCGCGCCGCGTTAACTGCCCAGGGTTGCCCTGGGCCGCGCCGGATTCCTGGATACCCAGAATAGCGTCGACATCCGCGTACAGTATTTACGCTGAGGCAAGGGGGCAAGTCTCCAGCAGGAGTAGATACCATGGATTTCTCATAAGTCCTGCAAGTCACCAACAACATTATATTTGCTGGCGAGGTGTTACACGCAAATTAAACCCACCGGTCTACTTCCTATCTGTGGAGTTTCATTATCCAATAAAATGATTCATCAAACTGGAAACACATGCATTTAAAAAAAACATCAGAAATTATTATGGGGGGACCTTTTTGTATGGAAAGCATTGGAAAGAGAAAAATGAAGTGCTTCAGTTTTAGACTAAGTGAGTCCTCAAATAATAAACATAATACATTCCTGAACCTGTTTTGTGATTCAGATTTTTTGGGTTAAAATGTAAAATTTTAGTTTTGCGTTAGAAAACTTCATTTTTTCCAGGCTAAAACAAAAACTGCTAGATCACCCAAAATTTAGGGGTGTAATTTTAAAAATTATAAACATAATAAAGTGGCTGCGTTTTTGTAAATTTATGGTGATGCCCAAATGCAAGAGACAGAAAAACCCGTGACCTGTTCCAATTTTCTAACATACTGCAGAAATAGTTTTAAGTACTGTTCTGCACCTGGCAGATGTTGGTAGAAAACCAGAAACATTTTCAAAGTCACTTGGCAACAGCTGTAAAATGTTTGTCCATGTCCCCGGCGGGTAGTTTATCATACTTTCAGGATGGGAAGGAGGGAGGTTGCTGGTAAGAGGGCCAGCGCCGGAGTCGATGATGAGCACCAGTGGTGTTCCATCCCAGTCCATATTGACAAGGCTCACGATTTTTGAAAAAACCCTTGTATGGAGAGGAAACGCGGGAGGGGAGCGAGGCTCAGATCGACAGACAGTCACGATGAGTGACTAACAGACAGCAGGACTCACGCAACGACTTGCGCGGTTCTACATATGGTGTCGTAAAGTCAACCGACGTTGTTTCTTGGCGGCTTTTCGTCTTCATAGAGCTTTGCCGCCACATCCGCAGTGAGCTGAAGATACATGTCGTTTTACGACTCGAATACATGCGTAGTTTTCTGATGTCTTCGATACAAATTCATGCGAGAAGAACCGTCATTTTCGTCTAATATATGAGCTGAGAAGCGAATCCCGGATCAACACTCTCGAGCAGGAGGCCAGTCACCGCTGAGGTGGCTGTTCAGTGAACAGTCATCCGTCCATGGACCCAAGAACAGTATACATTATACAGTATATTTCTTTGAAAATAATTTCAATAAGCTTTGATGGCTTTCAAGAAATAGGCACACAGAAGCACCCGACCGATAGCAACCTCTGCAGAAGGCACGTAGTATCAAAAGGATAAAACAAAAACTCAGGAGAAAAATTTCTTTTACAGATAACACTTGCATTTCTTTTGAAATTTCCCTGTTGGTTTTTCATGTTTACATTTCGGAAATGCAATTTGAACCATACCTTCACATTATCTATTGGGATTGCTCCGCAAACAAGCAAGAAATAACAAGTCCTTTCAATTCAACATCAGCTGTCAATGCACATTACAATAGCTGAACAGCATCAACCCCTGTATGAAAGCATATCATAACGAATAGCATTCACCATATTCTGAACGGAACATTTCTGGGGTTTTGAATGTTTGTTTCGATCCAATCCCAGATTGATACTGACCTTAACATGAGATTAACAACGCACGATTTAATTAAACCCCCGTCCGAAAAAACACATCTCACATGAACTTCTGCTCATTGGTGCTTCCCCAAGTGGATGTTCTGTATAGTCTTCATTTAAATACAGTATTTCTATAACGAAAGAGAGAGATGAGATTCGGTAATTTACAGTGATTGAAAGGGTGTTCTCTCTTTTCGTCTTTAATTCATCGTTCACCTCTCAATGACTAGACGCCGCACATTTCCCGCCTTTCCCGTGGCTTTTTGATGGCGGCTGCCGATCAATCTTATTATTACGCGAGCCCAAAATGCCTAGGTAAAGCGCCTTGTTATATGAACGACAGGGTATTTTATCCGTGCACTTGGCTCGGATAGCCGACTGGCATGACCGTGACCCCTTCTTCAGAGAGTGATGAACCCCTCGTGCTGGTTGATGGATAATCAAAAAACACCGGGTTTTAAATTGTCCATCAAAGCCAACAACAATTAATATTTCTAGGCATGCCTTCGTATCGCCCACTTAGACTCGCGCGCGGATGAATGCCCGTGCCCGCAGGAAACTTCCAATATTTTAGTCTTTTAAAATCGTTTTTCGAGCTGAAAAGTGGTGCCACCACATGGCATAATGCATAGCTTAAGTAGCTGACCGGGTTCTGCGCATCCTTAGTGAGAAACCCGACTGTTTTCCTGCTTTCATTGATTGATTTTCCGCAGAGTAATCAGCTGATGAACGTGTGTAAAACGAGGGCGTGGAACTGGAGCAAGAAAGTCGCATTCTGATTCTGCTACCAGCATAGCAACGAGATTATTGTATTTAAATGCTATGCAACTCACTTTTTCCCGTATACCATAAAATACTGGAGGAAGAATTGTTTTGACGAGAATACTATTCTTCAAAGTCAAAACGTTTTTTTTTTTTGAAAAAGCAAGAAGCGGCACCTGAAAGTCCTCGAGTATCCGGGTGATTTAAATATACAGTAGTTCAGTATTACGTGATGATTGAATCGGACACGGAGATGTTTTTATGAAAACTTAAGCAATTTATTTCGAATCAACCAGGTCGCAGATGGAAACATGTCCCAAAAATACAACACAAATTTACAACGCGAAACTCTCTCAACAAGTATACAAATGAAAAATTGTCTTTCGCCTGTGACTGGTTCAGTTTTTTGGCCCTTACTACATCCAATTTGTAAGAGAAAGAGGAAGAAAAGAAAAGGAAACAAATCACCGGGTTCTTTTGATGCCTCTCATCGTCGCGGTTACAAAAAAAAAATTATAATTACCTGTCATTCATCTCGCAAACCCCGACATTTCTCCCTCAGATTTCGACCTGCATATAAATTCTTCCGTTCTCACAGCATCTTCAGCTCATCGTCATCATCCGTTTCTTCGTTGACCTCGGAAATGACGAGGGATTCCATGGTTCCCGGACTGGGTGTTGGCAGTGTGCTGGGCATGGAGCCGAACATGAGCCCAGCAGGTGCGGATTCGATCGTGATTTTGACGTCGGATGAACCCGAACTGCCCGGGATCTTTATGGGTTGCGACTTGGGAGGATGGGTTGTTTGATCCTTGCTTGTAGGCTTGGGAATCACGACTTGCGCTGCTGCTTCCACAAACGCCGGAGCTGCAAAACCGGGTTTCATTTTTTATAATAAACCACTCAAACGCGGAAAATTACGTAATGATGTTCGTTGTAAGAGGGATTGGCTCCAGAGTTTTGGCAGTTGGATGGATAGAGATTTACAATTGAGTACTATTTCATCATTCCGTGATTTCAACAATGACAGAGAATTGGTTTCAAGGTTGCTCAAATCACAGCTGCAATCACAATTGGTTTTAAAATGATTTAAATCAACAGTGACTGGGTTCATATATTGTAATTGAACCCCTGAGTGATTTTGAAAATTTTGACTCAGAAAATTGGTGCCCGAAGAATACTGGATGTTTTCGGACACTGAATAAACCATATCTTGTGCCGTGCAAGGAATTTTCAAAAGTTTTGCAAGTCAAATTCAAATCACCACATTCAATCAATCTCGCTTATCCAGTTTTCCCGACTTCTTCATGAATAACTTTCTATTGTTTAGCCAAAAGATGTTCACCCTTTCTGTTTTACATCATCTTCAACTTTCTTTCCACTTGAATTTCTTGATGTTGCGCAAAACTTTGCGAGGGGCATCATTGTACAGTACTGTACTAAGTTATTTATTTTTAAGCGAACTAAAAAAAAGATGGCAGAAGTTTGAGAAATTTAAAATTCACTGTTCGTTCGTTTTCAAACTTTTGATGTTACTGGTTGGGTTGGAACCTTGAAAACGGGCCATATGGTCCACGAAAGAAAAAAAATGTCTGCTTACAATCATTTTTTCCTTCGTCCAGACATTGAAGTTTTAAGTGTATTAAAAACCATTCAGGGTTGCTCAGAAATTACGATGAAATGCAAATAAATTACTAAAGGATTGGCTCTGATATCACTAGTGTCTGGGATGAAAAGGACTCGCAAAATTCACGAAAAAACCAATGCATCGCAGTAAAAGTACCAAGAGCGCTCACAAGACGTAATTCCCCGCATTCCGAAGTTCTGTTGATGAATAAACAAATAAATAAATAGGAAAATGTGTACCTTCGACGACAGTCGGCAACAAGTCGACGCCGTCGTCGTGAGAGATGTACTTGAGGCGACTCTGTCCCGGCGAACCCGGAATGCGGTACTTTTTTGTCGTCGTCTTCGGAGATCCTGTTTTAAACTTGAACTTGTCTGCGACAGAACTGGCACGCTTGGCTGCCTTCGGCTTCAACTTCGCGATTTTGATCGGTTCTCCGTCCAAAACTGACTCTGGCGGCGTCTGCAAAAAGTGGAAAGAAAATATGAAGAATATACAGAGTATCCGGACGTTCATTTACCCTCAAAATGATTCATAGATAATCAGCAAGAAACAATGAGATAATTTTTTACCCATCAAGTTCGCGGGGAACTGTGATGAGCTTTAGGAAAACTCCATTCTGCTCACTTCGGAAGGAATAGTATATTGTAGTTTTTTTTTGTTCGATTCCTACTGAACAAAGTCGAAGCTGGAACATACAGATTATCGAAACAATATTGTCGGACCGTTCTGAAATATCACTGTCAACAGTACAGAGGAGTGGTCACCTGACTACCTGAGAAAGGTCTGCAAAGACAAGTATCCAACTATCTTGGAGAAAAAAAAAAGATAGGCAACCATGGTAACAAAGGACAAATACACGAAAACTTTCGGGTTTTCAAGTAATCTCTGATCAAGCATTTGAAAAAGGAAGATTTTCAAATTCCTCTACCTTTTTTTGAGCATGACATTTTTTCCGAAATCGCATAATCCACCGAATAATCTATAGAAACGGTCAAACGGAGAAAAATGCAGTTTCGAAATAATACCCGCTGTTTTCATTTCCATTCGTCTTCGTTTTTCATGACGAAGGATAACTTTTCGAGCAGAAAGTCAAATAAATAATTTCATGCCAAACATTAGATTTCAATCTACTCATATGAAAAATTTAGTTCTTTGCCGTGAATAACCTCAAGCCGACATTGTAAATTTCCAAAACAAGACAAATATTTCTTTGTTGATAATTGGAATGAATACTAGCTGAAGAAAAAATTAAATCTCCCATGGGTAATTAAGCTAAAGAAGAGCAATTTATCCCTTATTTTCAATAAATTCTGGAGGAAGTGTGGCCGAGCATTTGAAATTTTCTGTAATAACGGAATATATGAGGTAAAAAATAATTAATTATGCTTTCGGAACAAAAATGGCCATCAAAGATGTCCATAACCACGAAATTAAACTTTACTCCAGATCACATAACGAAGCAAAAGAAGAAGCCACGTATTCTCCTGCAATACGCGCAACTTCGATTTTTCAGTTCAAAGCAAACAAAAAAGTGAACGCCATACGCAATTGAAATTGTTCTCAAACAGTCAGGACTGATTTGAAAAATATTATATGAACCATCTCTGCAAATTTAGTTCATTCAAGGAAAAACAATAACTCACAGAAAGCGATCGGCGAACTTGCGGCTTGTTATTACCCTGGCCGATCCTTCGCTCCCTGATCGGCGACAACTGCATCGGCTGACTGATGTTACTCGCCCGACTGCTCGGTCTGTTATTCCCACCTCTGACAGAAAACCGGCTTCGGATGCTCAAAAGTCTCTTGATCGTGGATCCCCGTTGTCGGATCCCACTCCAGTCCCCACCAGACTCGAAGCTAGACGGCACGTCCAACATGCTTCCCAACAGATCCGGGGTTTCTCGGCCTTCTTCAGCTTCCTGCGACTCTTCCGTGTGCGGCAGGTCCTGAGGGATCACGTCTTCCCAGTAGGGATCCTTCACGAGGTCCGGGAACTGCTCGTTCATCTCGTCCACGATCATGTAGGACGTTTTCAAGTGACGATCGATCATCCAGTTGAGTTCGAAGTCGTCGTCGTCTTCGCCGTACGGATTCACCAGAGTCTCGGCTACTTTCAGCCAGCCGAGATAGAAAACGAACTGTGAATAAAAAATAAATTAAATAAAACCTTAGATATTAAAACTAATAAAGACGCTCCGATCAAAAATTTCCCGACAATTTTGTAGATCCGACTCAGACAACTTTTCCCATAACTTTCGGTAAGCGCTCCACATCAACAACTCGTCAAAAAACAAAATGCAGACCTTTTCGTTATGGAACATAGTTTTCAGCTCTTGGACATCATCATTCAACACGTTCTCGTTTTTTTTATATTTAGAAGAACTTTGACTTTACGGTGAGAAATTTAAAAAATAATGTGAAAGTGCTGTGACAGGTATACTCATTTCGTCGAAGTTATATAGGCCTATAGGGAGCATATTCAATCCTTCGTATTTTATTTGTTTCAGTCTCAAGCTGAACAAATAACTTTCTGAACCAAGAACAAAAATGGATCAAATACTGCTGAACCTCTTCAAGTCAAACAACTTCAGGAGGGGACCAAGCTAAAAATTCGAGTTCGGGAGGTTTCGAGTTGGGGAAACAATAAGCATTTTTCTTGGGAGAGAGAAAGAAGGATTAAAGGAAATTGTAATTCGTGATATTCTGGACCTTAAATTGCTTCTTACATGAGTTGAAAGGATGCTGAATTTGGACGCAAGAATTCCTTTTTTAGTTAACTTTTTATTGTTTGTCAGTTTCCTAGGTCACAAAAGTGATAGCCCAATAAAAACTTCCAGAAAATTAGGATTATAGAGGTTTTAGGAGGGAAGCCTACGAGTTAGGAAGGTCTTTTATACAATACATTGTTTCCAAGAAAATTCAGATACGTAATTTTAAAAAAGAATTGTCACATGGAAATTAAATTTATCAAGGTTCAACTTCAATTAATAAAAATTACCTCCGTCTTCATCCATGACGTCTACGATCGATGTACTCGACTAGGACAATTAACGAACCCATAATTCTCTCGCTCACAGTTACGATTTGGGAAATTCCATTATACTGTAATACAGTAATTCAGCTGGCATGAGATTCCGTTTAAAGTACAGTACCGTGCCATATTATAGATTAGAACTACGGCAGACCTGCAAGACGGTGAAGATGGGGAAGTACAAATCCATGACGTATTTGTCGTTTTGGATAAACTGTCTCCCGAGCAAACAGGCGAGGAAAAACGTGTAAACAGCCAGTGTAACAACCTAAAAAAAAAAGAAGACACGATGATCATGATATACCAAGACAAGACGAAAAGACTCGTGTTTCTCAGAAAACTCCCGTGTTTGACAAATAATGTGTTTTGACAAGGACCTGGGAATAGACGAGCGGCACGTTGATGATATCTATGTGCAAACTGCGACCGCATCGTTGCCGGAACTCCACAATGTGGTCCAGGCAAGATTTCCATTGGAAATCCGACTTGATCTTGCCCTCGTTTCGGGCTTTAGTGATTATCGTCGCGGCCCAAACCAGGGGCACGAAGTAAAGTTTCTTGACCTGCTTCGACATCACGTCCAAAATCTGGCGCTCGTCCTCCGTCAAAAGCCCTTCAAGGAATAAATACAACATTTTTATGCACGTCCGTCCATAAAAAATAAAGGTAAATTCTTTCTTAACTGTAATTCAACATGCAGAAAATAATTTTTTTTCTTTTTTGGCCTGAAAAGGAGCCCAAAAAGCGAAGTACGGTATAAAAATGAATAAAAAATATTTTTACACTGCTCCATCCCTACATAAAAAATGAAGGAAAATTCTTTCTCGACTAATTCAGGATACAGAAAATGACTGTGCAGAAAAAAACCACATACAACACAATCGGCCATTTGGCGTGAGAAGGAGCCCAAAAAGCAAAGGAAAAAAAAACACATGTCTTGCTATACCTTGTACTGTATACAGATGATGTAATCTTAAAGAGAGAAGCTCAAAATTTTCCTTTTATGGATTGTGAATTAAAGTACTGTACATTCTTCATAATACCGTACGACTTTTTCCGAATTTTTGTTAATAAAAATACTGTAGGTGCATTTGTTCAAGCGATTTCAAAATTGAGAAAAATTACAATTTTCCACTTTTCTAGAAAATTTGGCAATGTCCGGAATTTCAAGTGTTCCTAAGTCGACTCGTCCGTACGGCGGGACGTCCGCATTTCGGGGTCCCACCGGGCTTCTAGATTTTTTCTCAATTTTTTACACGTTCGTTCATCCATCGCCGTTTTTCTCCCCATAATTTCGAATAGGACCTTTCTGATAAAGTATGTACTGAAAAATAATTACAGTACGATATTGAACGTGAATAATATCGTCGCATGGCCAGAAAATTATAAATCGTCGCCAAGTAACGACAATGAAAAAGTTGTGAAACTGATTTCAAGTTCTAATATGGAGAGTTCATTAAATGGCTTTTGATCGGCAAAAGTTCATTTAATCTTATATCATGGTTGCCATGATGATTTAAAAGAAACTTACCTTTGGGACAATTTTTGACATCGGGGAAAATGCGCCTTTTCAACTGCAATATAGCGACAGCAATTCACACTGAAAGCTGAATATAGCCTCAAAGAAGTACGTTGACTAAAAATACATTCATTTTGCTTTGATATACAGTAATGTAGTACTATTTACAATATCTGATTTTTAAATTTTGCAATAATTTTGCAGTCGTTATACTGTATTTGTAAAAAAAGAGAGAAAATGGGGTTTTTATTCCTCTTAGCCCATATTTCCCCCAAATAACAGAAGATAAAAATTATTTATCAGATTAAAGATCGTGCAGGAATTTGTGATGGAATTTTCCATATACGACCCATCATTTTTATCTACTATTCTACACGGATTATTTTCAAAACAGGAAAAGTAGCCCCATGGACTGACTATACTCGTATTGCGCAAGTATCGAAGCAGAACTATTAAAAAAAAGTTCTTTTCGGATGGCTGGACTGGACCTTATAGGTCAGTTGATTGTTCCGGTCAGACAATAAGACGTCTCGAGAACGGAAGTAGAAAAACGTACCCGCTGAAACGAAATGATCCAACGTCGGAAATCGTTTCCTAACCCTGGGACTGAACATGGCCATGGAATGAACACTTGCCAGGTTCACGTAACGCAAAATCGTCCGTCTCATCAATCGAGCTCTCTCATCCTAAGAGAAACCAAAATAAATCATTTCTAAATAAACAATTCCCTCGTAATCACACACGAATCCTCGAAATAAAATGTAAAAAAACGAGCTAAGATAGAATTTCTTAAATTTCCAGTGATCCTGAGAACCGAAAATTCACATCAACAAAGTAACTTTGAAGCCTGCATCCTTATTATCGAACGAGAATTCCACTGTGCCATGGATTCACACAGTAAAATGTACTCAGCACAAAATACTTCATAAAATGGACGATGGACAATTCAGTGCGTACAAATCTACGCGTTTTCATACATGAGTAAAAACAGGAAAAAAAAACATTCCAGCAAAATCGGCACGAGAAAAGTACTCGCTAAACTGATGATTGAAAGCTTCAAAATTTTTGAATGCATGGACGTCTTCTCATTCAGAAAAAATTCCGCCGTCAAAAGACCTTTACAAGGGATTGATCTATTCTATCAAGCCTATTTTATATACATCCTATTTTTACGTTAAGAGTTAACACAAAATATTTTCATCATGCGCAATTTTGGACACGCGCTAAATTGCTGATCCACGAGGCGGAAAGAAATCTCGATTTTCTTCTACGGATGACGCGTTCTCAGTACTAATTATAAATTCAGTATTACCACAAAATCTTTTCGAAAAATACTCTATGAATTTACCTGTCCTTGAATACTAGTTGTAACAAACATGGCTATGTTGTCAGGCCACGGCAAAGCGTCCCACATTTGCCACCACCGGTTCACGACCAGATTCACGTAGAACCCGAGAACGAAGGATAAAGGAATGAGGGAACTGTACTTCTCGCAGTACCTACACAGGAACTCGAACACTCTGATGAAGAAATAACAATAAGAAATAATAATAGAGAATACAGTTTTCAAACACACATTTCCACGAACAAACGCTGGATCAAGTGCCCAAATTCCTACACAATGATCGGCATCTTCAAAAATGAGTAAAACTTTGGTTCTTTAAATCACAGTACACTACATTACTTTGTTTGTCAGATTTTATTATGTTTCTAAAGGCATCGGTGAGTTCACGTCTATAATGAAAATACTTACACTAAATCGCCTCATGCTTCTCAAGAACCCGTCAGCATTTCGAGCTTGCAATTTTTATGAAAAAACATTTCTTCGAATATCCTTTCATGATGGAAAATGAATTCCTCCATCCTCATCATTCAACCTATGACCATTGTTTCCTCCATCTTCACATTCCCCTACGAAGTTTTATGTAAATGATCACGAAAAACTCCCCATCAATGGCATTTCGGAAAAAAAGACAGCGATTTAATTTTTCGCAGGCGTAAATAAAATTGTGACACATCATCCACTAATATTCTTTGTTTTAACGCAGAATATTGAAAAATTGCTGTTGAAAAAATCAATTTACATTTTTTGGGCAACCCTTCACAGTCCGCATTGACAAGGCAACCATAAATCTGAGTCACACGTAATTGCCAGTCCCCGAAAAAACCCCAAAGAGTTGCTGACTCATTGAGAAAACATCCTTCCCGATTTTGAACTAGATCCTGCTTCGCAAATATTCCAAGAAAATAAATATAAAAAACCAGGCAGATAAAAAGGCAACGATGTCTGGAAAATCACGCGTATCTCCAACACCGCAACAGATACGCAAGATATACAAGATATTTGCCCCCCCCCCCACTTCCTTATTCCAACCCAGAAAATACCGTAATTGAAATCACAACCAGAAAGTCACGCCATCCGCGTTAGCAACGCGTGTTAAAACCTGACATATTTGCAGAATTCACTGCAAAAAAGAAAAAGACAACTCTATGCACTGACCTCTTTTCATCGCTTGCCATCCCGAATCTGTACCAGAAACTAATGGCGTAGTATAAAGTCAGCCACACCAGCAAATTCCTCCACACCAACTTGTACACGCTTCCTTTCCATCTACAATAAACAAGAACCCGCCATGAATTGAGCAAAAAAACTCAAATAAAAAACCCATGACTTCGCATGAAGTAATCCATCATTTGGAAAATAAAATGCACGACACTCTCGGTAAACATAAGTCAATTTCTGAAGCCGAAGTGAGAAAAAGCAGCGTCATCAGACCAAACTTTCCGACGGATTTTGAGTTGCGTCTAGTTTTTATGGCACAGCCAGCAAATCTTTCTTGCGTAAAATATAAAAATTGCTTGGCAATCCAAAGATGGTTTTCTTCAGCAAAGGACGAAGCCCTTTGTGCAAGTAGATAAGGTAACACATATATTTTATTTCTAGTGCCAGCACAAATGAATGCATGCCAAAAGAGCGCGCGTCCGACGAATCAAGTGCTGAAAGAAACACTGCTAATACAGTAGTTGAATATTATTGCAATAAATATAATAAAAGCAAGGGTTCGAGAAAACATTCAAACAATTTAAAGAAGCGCTGACATAAGCAGGACAGAGAAAAATGAAGAATCTCATTGAAAAACCAAAGTATAGATCTGGAAAATTCTCACATTCATAAAAATCGCGGTTCCAACGCCATTAAAAATATATTTTTCATCATTCACTTAATAAATACGCGTTGTCACGAAAAATATTCAAGGTAAGTATGGCATGATCCAAACACACTACAATAAAATTGTTTGACAATAAAAACTTTGCACAAATGCTTCTTGGCACCTGATACAATCGAAAATCCTTGGACCTTCATTCTTTCATGAAGTTGCTGACAGTAAAACTTTCTACGTGATCGAAAATGCATTTGATTTGACTAAAATTTTTCAATTATACTGATTTAAAATAAACGTTTCTCATGTGTTGGTGAAGCTGAACCTGGAGAGTAAAATTGAATTGTAAACTGGTGGAAAATAAGTTGACTAGGGCAGATTTGCAATTGAAGATACTGTAACTGTTCGAAAATGGAAAGAACGCTTGCTTAGATTCTTTTAATGAATTCTGCATTAATTCGGAGGATTTTGATTTAAAAATTGATTAACAAAAGCTTTTCAATGCCAAGCATCGACAAAACCTTTGTATCCACCATCAGAGGGGATGTTTTGGTTTTTTTGTTGCTGATTACAAGCAGGCGCTCTTTCGTAAGCACCGTTTCGGGACACTTCCAACTATTTTCCATGATTATTTTCAAGCCTCGAAAACACTGGGATATTCAAATTAACTCACAAGAAAAGAAGGTTGAGGAATCCTCGTCCGAATCCGGACGCAGTGGCCAGCTTGTGAGCATAAACCACAGTCATGTTGACACCAATAAAAGCCGTCAATAATGAAAGACACTGAAAAAAACCGACGGGTTTCCGAAACACTCGAGTCACTTCCGATGAAAATCTCGTCCAGAAATCCGTGGAATCAGCGCTTAGGTGACAGAGTCGACACCGTTTCGCGACAAACAGCAGTAGGAAATGCTGCTGGATTGACCGATCGTCACGACACTCGATCGCCGCATTGAAATTTCAGGGATTCCGTTCGACAATCCTACTGCCACACATCCGGTCCTTGAACCCACGGCACATCTCACTTCCTATTCCGACGAAGAAGAAGCACAGACCTAATTATATATGTATGGCAGGGTTTCGCGCTTCTGGGAAAGCGATATTCCTGCGATACGTCATACACAGCTCTGGATAATTTCTGGAAGCCATCATTCACATCGTTCACCTTCCTTTTTTCCCCATAAGCAGGTCCCAGAACGATTTATAAATCGAGTAAATGATGTGAAATCCCTCAATTTCCTCCAAATGATGCATCGTTCCCACGTGTGATGCGAAGATTCTGCTGAGGTAGAACTTGACTTTCAAAATGGTAAGCTAAGCTGAAAAGTCACTTCAGCTATTTTCACATAAGAATTCGGAATAAATCAAAAATGTGGGACAGATTTGAATGGAGTTCACGGTAAATTCGACACTGGGTGGAAATTGCGGTGTAGGTTTATACAGTAAATTCTCATTGCAACAAACTCCCAGGAACCTGATAAAAACTTCGATGTGCAACATTTAGATTCATGGTATCAACACATTTTAGACTGAAATTTTGAGTTAAATGTATCAATACTGTGAAGTGCTTCAACAGCAGATAATTCAAGACCAGCCATAATTTACAAGTTTGTCTGATGAAACGTAGAGGAGAATTTTTGAATATACAGTACAGTACTGTACTTCTCTTTTATTGAACCTGCCATCCATTAATGTGCTTTTTGTCTTGAAAAAAAAATGACACAAAAGTACACGTGGGAGAAATACTTCATTCCAAATCAACTTATTCATTCATAACTGCCTGTTCTTTTAAATTAAAAAAATACTTTCAACATGCTCTTTATTCAAAAGAAAGGCATACTTACTCGAATAGAGCTAAAGAACTTCCAAGGAATATGTTATGATGCGTATTTGCTGAAAACTAAGTTTTCTATGAAGAAAGTTCTGTCAATTCAATGAAGTTTAAATGTTGCGCCAGTTCAATTTTTTTCCTTTTTTTCTATTCATCAATATGGTAATCCCTATGGCCTATGCACAGAATCAGGGCTAATCACTCATCATACTGGGATTGTAGCCTAAAATGAGTTTCTTAGAACAATGCTTTTTCCAACACGGTGCCGAAAGAGAAACTGCTGGGACACAAAAAAATCGTTTTAATGAGATTTGTTGTGACAAAATTTTATTGCATCAATGTGAGTGGCCAACCAAAATGTATCTGTTTTAAATTAAGCTGCGTCCAACCAAAATGTAACCGCGGTTTCGTGGATGGATCCATCAAAATTCATCACACAGGAAGGATTGCTCAACGCAGAGCAAGTGACAAACACTTCCAGACCTTATTCAAACCCGGGTATCCAAACTCGAACCTTTCAAAAACTGTCAAAATCTCAATTGAAGACCCGAAACATTTTTTTTTCTTTTTCTTTTGAGATTGCGGAACGAGAGATATCGACTGCAACGAATCACGCGCTGAACTGCGGACGGAAGCACTTCATTGTGAAACAGCCCGCACTGGGTACACTTGCACAGCAACGGTGAAAGTGACTCTGGAGTTCAGAGAAGTGCCTTCTTCCGCATTCACCTTCTCTCGTTGATATCAAGAGCCAACATGTTTTCATCTCATCAGTCCATGTCAGAAAAGGTATGTTATTTAATATTTTAATTTCGAGCAAGCCTAGTTCAGACGAGAGAAAACCGCGCCGGTATAGTTGTGTATCAGCAGGAGCCAAAGCAATGTGGAATAGAGCTGTGTTCCCCAACCTTTTTGGAAAAATGTCCACAAAATTTTTTTGCAGACCTGCAAATTCCTCAAAAATTTTCTGCAGACTGGCAAAGTTTCATGAATTTTTTGCCGACTCAAAAAGGTTTTGCTTGAAAGAGTTTATGGCAGGTATTTAAAATTTTTCTGCTTTTTTTGTAAAAAATAAATAAAACACCAATGAAGCAGCTATACAGGGAAATGTCTTCCAAAAAATATAATGGTCAGCTTGAATAAAGGTTTCTCAGGATTAAAAAATTAAAATAAAGCATTTCAGCATGCAAAAAAAAAATGCCTCAAGAGTTAGTTGGGAGGAAAGCCAACTTAAACTTTTCATCAGATAATTTCAACTCTGCAATTATCGTGGCAAAATTTTGGATGAAGATAACAGACTTAATTGCTACTTTTGATAAATTCATCATGTTGCAGAAAATTTCCAGCAGATCTGCAAAAATCTTCTGAAGACTGGCACAGGTCTGTGGACCACTGGCTGGGGAACACTGGAATAGAGATTCTGAATGAATGCAACAGATGGACTCTTTAACAAGAAAAAATTGTTTCAGAGAGAATTTTGTTGTGGAGAAGCCCTACAACATGGGCAAAGAACCCATGGGACAACAAAAACATTTTTTAAACATTACAGAGAAAATTGTTGCAGAGTCTATACCCATAATACGTATCTTCAAAACAATAGTATGCTGTATGGCTATAGTGGAACCCCAACATACAGACACTGGAAACTTGTAAAAATTTGCCCCAACAACTGGATAATGCCTTGAGATATGGACAGTTTTCCAACATTTCTAGAAGAATTTAAATATTTTATTTCTAAATTTTGATACATCTTGAAGAAATGGAGTGATTTATATTCCTAAAAATTGAAAGAAGCACTATACAATTTTATTGTACAGTAGTTCAATTCAAAGTGAGGGCCAGGCTGCTTTTGAGCTTCTTTTTTCAGATTTATTCAATCATGTGTGCACAGCACCAAATAGCTAAACTTGTTCTTTTTTACTGCTTCTTAAAGCTGCTTATACTGCCAATAGATCAGATTCTGCACACTTCTTCTGTGCAATTATTTTCTGTGCCTTGAAGTAGAGAAAATGTTTTATTCAAATGTTTAGGTACTTTATTCATAATTTTTTAAGAACAGGAGAACCAATTAATATTTTCCAATTGAAGTCTACATGGAAATATGTTCTGACTATTCTGACATACAGATACTCCAACATATGGACATATTCCAAGCACACATTTCATCCACATCTTGGGGCCCACCGGTTCATCAGCTTTAATTCAAGAAGCTTCCCAATTCATATGATTTATTTGCTGTGCAACACCTTCTCTGAAAAGGAAATAGCTATTCAAGGATAAAACATGTTTTATTATAAATAAATATCGGTATACAGGACCTGACAGATGGTCTCTTTGGATTCATAAACAACATGTGTTTACTGATTAAAAAAAAAAAAACTTTGAGGATTGGAAGTACTGTTCAACGGCTCCACCATCATTAAAAACAAAACAATTAAGGCAATTTCTGCAAGGTATTTAGGCATCAAGTGAAGTGAGCGTGACTTCAGGTTTTTTTTTTAACCATTCTACGCATATAGTGGACAAGATGGCGAACAGTGTCGCTACTGGTTTTAGCCCACTGTTTTCATTCACACTAAGACATGCATCCGCAATTGTTGAATATGATACGGGGCCTCACAATTGCTGACATGCATGGTTGCTTCCTCAGAACACACACCACGAAAAACCTTGGTTCAGCAATTATAAGGTGAATCATACACCAAACCCTAAAAAAAAATCGTTCCGCACAACGAACACAGGAGCAGTTTCTGTTCCGCAATAACTTAAAACCACAGATATCCCAAGGTGTTTTCCGCATGCGATGAATACGGCGTTTGATAAAATCGAGCAAAATTCACAGCAAT